ACGGTGAAGCACCCGTCAGCAATCGTGTGGCGACGTCCTGGAGAGGCGACTGTCTGTCCGCTGGCGCGCGCTGAGGAAGGAAGGTCCCTCTGGGTCGGCCAGAATAGGGCCAGGGCCTTCGGTCGGCGGCGCAGCTCGTTTTCCCATCATTTCCATCAAGAGACGGTCAAATGCGTGTCATCACCACGAGCAGCTGCCCATCCCGTCTTGCCCCTTTCTGTTGGATCTTGCGCGTTTGCACGTTCGAGGGACGTGGGAATTGGCCGAGGAGGTGCGATGGTCACGCCACGCATCCGATGGGTTCGAGCGGGTCGCAGGGGACGGGAGAGTCGAACTTACGTGGTGCTCAATGCTCGAACCTTCCCGACCGTTGTTTTGTCAACGGGCCGCAACTCGATCGATGATGGCGCGATAGACGGCAATTAGGATGGAAACAATAACAAGTCGCCGCGACAGCAGGTAATGGAGGAAGGCTGCAAAAATAGGCAGGGGAGAAGTGAAGGATTTCCGCTTGCTGCTGTGGTCGCGGGAGGGTGTGAGCCGGGAAGTCGAGGGAAGGGGAAGAGCGACCTGCTGAAGTGGGTGGGCTGCTTCTGTTAATGTGAGGAACTCGGAGCATGCACTTGCTGAATTTCGGGGCGGGGGGTAAAGAGTGGGCAATACAGCCTTGATTGACCAATCATGAGGCCTGGAGCTTGCAGACAGGTGGGCCCAATGATCCCTGAGCAACACCCCAGGCCGGACATGGGCACTGTAACCCCCCGGGAGGCTGCTCTGAGAGAGCACCAAAGCTCTCCAGTCTTGCTCCAGGCTCCTCCTCCTTTTCATGCAGCCGCACATCGCAACACCAACCAGGTAGCCCGTACGGGTTACCTATCGGGAGCTCAGGAGTGACAGCCGGGTCATGGCGAGGCTAGCAGCACCCAGGGAGTTCGCTAGTGCAGAGGAATATATGGAGAGTGTGGACAAGAAGTCACTCTGTGTTTCAGGTTTGCTTAGCATTTCTTTTGCATCTGACCTTGCGGCAGAGCATATGTGCAAGGCAATAAAGGCAATGGGTGCCCCTTTATTCGTACGGGCCTGCAATGGCAATTCGCGCCTCCATTTGCCAACGGGTTACAGCAACGTTTTGCTTGCCCCGGTTGACGATGCTGCACTACGGTATGTATGTACAGTGTCAGTGCAGCGAGCGGCGTTACCAGGAAATCGGAGAGAGCACGCTCAATGACCAAACGATTTCCAATCAACAACCGTCCATATCATTCTCCCACTCGGCGCAACGTGCGACTTCGCCAGACTACGTCCACTATTCTAGAAGGGTGGCTGGGCTGGGCAGGCAGGCAATCAGTTGGTCCTCGTCGTTCCTTCTTTCCCCGCACACATCTATCCACCACCACCCACCGCTACTTCACACTCACCTCAGCTGAAAGCTGGAAATCTGCTGGCGGCGACGATCGCTCGATCATCTCACAAACGGTCCCGTCCGATACGATTTCCGACGGCTTTCGTCATTTTCCACAGAGGGGCACAGACACAGACACAGTCACAGAGACGCAGCCAGACAGGCAGACAGACCGATACGGATTGCATTGCAGCCCGTATTGTGGACACGATCAGCGGATCGCTGGCCGGTAATGGTCCTCAGCTTGAAACATACCTGGAGCCATCCGCCCGTCCTGTCTTTACATAGCAGATCTTGAAGCCGTTGGCGCTGTGCCTAGATGCCTTTCCTCCAGGTCCGTCCCACCTCATGCTGGGATTATTTTTTAAAGGCGAGGGCGATGCCCATGGCGCATTCCCATCTTGAATTCATCCAGTTCAACCGCCTCAACCACCCGACATCCAAAGACTTCCAATGATCGGTGCAGTCCTGCGGGCAGTTCGTGATCGACGCCAGCCCGCTCGGAACTTGCGCTGGGCCCACTTTTCTTTTTGGCAGGCGGGAAAGGCGCACCTCGACCGGGCCGTCGCTGGCTGCTGGGAGGCAGATGGTCGATCAGGTACAAGCAGTTAGGATCCAGGCGCAATGCTTCCATGTCCTCCGGGTTCCTGAGCTTTGCACACTATCCGTCGGGTTGCGCTCGCAACCGACATGGAACGTCGAGCGAACGGCGAGGACTTTCAGGACTGTTTTGGGCCTTGTTAGGGGTACATGACCTACAGGATACAAGGCTACCTAGATGTTCCTGACCTAGCGCGAGTTGCTGTTCGTGCTGGGTTTGAAACGAATCTGGACGAGGAACTCTTACGGGCCTCTCTTGACCTGACTTCGCCAGTCAGCCACGTACCGACGGGGCATCCAAGTCTGAACAAGCTCGACGGGAGCGCCGCTGCCCTGTGCCATCAAACGCCTCCATCTCATGCGGTACGCGGGCGCGAACAAATCAAGACCACGGACGACTCTAGCAGCACTTTGGAAATCTCACTCACAAACAAGATGTGGAAGCAGGGGACGAGATCCAACGCCGCCTCCCCCCGTTCTCTTCCTCACCCCTGAGGGTGATTTCGTGATTTCATAATTTCATGCCTTACCTGGGAGTCTGGGACAAGGGCATCAGAGAGCTCGGACCATGGTTCCCCCCCCTCTTCTGGAAAACCGCTGGCCGGCCACTCGTGGTGAGATGAATCGCTATCCGTGCGTTGTTGGTGGCGAAGATCAATTCAATGCAGCGTTTGAAACGTCGATATTATTAGCCGGCATTCGTCTCGCAATGCCGAGCTCCTGCTCCTTAATCCGTGCCAGCCAACAAATTTTTTTCTTTCTTTTTTTTTACTTTCAAAAATAAGGATGACCTCTAGCACACGATAAAAGAGGTTTGGCCCGCCAAATCGAGACGGCGCGGCATCCGCGACAGCCTGGTTCTGGCGCTGCTCCTGGACCCGGCGGCTATATCTCTCTCCCCAATCCCTATCATGCACTGTCCTGCTGATACTGGAGGAGCTGTGGTACGTGTACGTACGGTACGGGCCACGGCATGGCAAAGGAATTGACTGCCATGTGCAATTCAAGATTCACCGCGGGTTGCACGTACTGTGTAACCTTGACAACAGCAACTGCATTCAGACAGACCGGGAGATTTTTATTTCAGCCCGCATGGTCCATCCATCCTCCTTCATTGGGTGGGAGGTGTCTGGATGCCGGTTTCCGGCGGGACTCTTTCATTCGACTAACACCCGTAGCCTCGCCAAGTGTCTCTTTTGCCTGGGGGATACATGCTAGCGCTGCAGGATGTCCCAGAATGTGACCCTTGCGACAGCATCACATCTCACCGTCTCTGCAGAGGAGAGAGAGACGGGAGTCCAGAAGCCAGATGGAAGAAGCAATGGTGCAAAACTGCAAAGCGCGACACAAAACCCGCACTGTTCGAAGCAAGCTGAGGGAGCTGGACCTATTAGCCCAACACTCGCTCAAATTGCCCAGTCGCAGTTGCATTCTTCTTCTTCTTCTTCATCCACAGGTGGTGGTGTTGTGTTCATGCAGAAACTGAGATCCAGGACGCCGGGTAGCCTGTTGCATGTGCAGCCTGCAGCTGCCTCCCTTTCCCAGTCGCGTTTCGTTGACAAAGAGGCAAGCCCGGGTGGAGCTGCGAGTCTTGAAATTGTCGGTAATCTCACCATGACCATTCTGGCGTGATGTCGAATCTAGCTGGGCGCCGCTATTCAGGTACCAGACGCGGTGCCGGTGGAGCTGGGCGAAATTTGCTTCTCGTTGGTGGTGACATCGGTCCCTGGATCCAGCGGCCGGCCGGCGGCGGTTGCAACGCTGCTGCACGCACCACTGAAAAAAAGACGGGTTAGCCCACCCGACATCCAGGGTTGAAAGTTGAAGTTGAGTGCATCCCGACCGCTCCCCCCACTCATCCCCCCGAAAGCCCGCTTTGTCGACATCACGATCTCCACACGGTTTGTCTACTCTAGAGAAGTGCAGACTGGCTCCGCTGCTGCCACGTTTTTCTCTCTGTCTCTCGTTTATGATAGGGGCACTCGGCTTTTCCATATGAGAAAGGTTGATGCAGGCAGTCGACCTAGCCTATCTGGAGAGATTGAGGCTCTCGAAACACTTCCAGGTTCTCGGAGACAGACAACATCCCCAAGGGTTGATTGACTCACGAGCAAGAAGGCGGGAGAGACAAGGAAAACCGGATAATGCACTGCACGTATATAGATATACACTGCACGGTACACTGGCCTGCACGCATGTGATGTGCAGCAAGCGGTTGCTTGACGCCGTGTGTTGCTGCGGGAGATGCATTCCCGAGATCTATCTCTCGTTCACCTCAACTAAGGCACACACTACTGTGTACACTCCGGGATACACTAGTGCTAACCCCCCCTACTGTACCTTACACACTAACGCTAGCGCAAATACGTCTTGCAGGTCACTCGCAAGCCAGACCCAACCAAACACGGGCCACACGCGTAAAAAAATGGCAAGGAAAGAAAAGAAACCCCAAGAAAAAGAAGAAGAAAAGGAGAACCCCGGACACTAGGACGGAAAAGGCGATGTTCTAGAAGCCTGTGTAATCAATGGGAGCTCAGGGGTCTCCCCCTGTTGACTTGCTTGCTGATGACCCAAAACTCCACAGACGATTTTAAGCCGTGAAGTGGATTTGGAAACATCGTCTTGCTGCAGCCATCAGACGATGGTACACAGTACAACTCTTAGACCCGTTTCTTTCTTTCCTTGTAACCCGCAGGATACAAAGTATGCATATCAGCGAGCGCGCGATAAAGACATTGGATTCTAGAACACTTCCAGCGTTTGCGTATATTGATTTTCACCCCGTCGTAATCCGTACTCCACGTTGTAATGCAATTCCCTCCCGTCCCTGACCTTACCTTAGCTATGGTAGGTATCCACGCAGTGGAGCGAGCGAGACAGTCCCCCGTTTCCCCTCCCCACACACACATCCACCTTCCCTTCGTCCCTTCCTCTACTGTATAATACCTCTCCACCAACCCCCACAACAACAACCCACGAGATCCAACAATCTCGGAGCGGGCAATTGGTCTAGGGGTATGATTTTCGCTTCGCATGTTCTTACCTCTGTAAGCTGCCCATGTGAAAGGTCACCGGTTCGAATCCGGTATTGTCCAGTTCTTTCTTTTTGCTTCTTACCGTTACGCACGATCCAGGTTTTCTCATGTTATTTTTTCTTTTTTGCTCTCTTTCTCTCCTTGCAGGAGAAGAAGAACATAAAAAAAGACTCTAGAAATACAAACCAAGTCTCCGCCATGTCTTGAAGGTATAATTTCTATTTTATATCTCTATTTGTTGGCCCACAACTCTTCAATCTATTGCAACCAAACAACAATCGTGTTTTTTTATTTTTCCCACAGGCAAAAGAGCTCATGGACATATGGTTCTCTCTCCTAGCTAGTCGTTCATATATTCATCCATCTCTCTCACCGTGTTGAAACCGGCTAATATGCAGGTCCCTGTGGTGCAAAGTTCGGGAAATTCTAAGTGACTATCTATCTGTCCTATTACTCCCAAGCGCAGTATTCCCCTTCTCTACATATCCACGATCTCTCCACCTAGTAGGCAGACAGGCAGTAGCAAGCAACCTACATATGTGTCATGGTATATATATCCCCTACATATCTATCATCTATCCCCCTAACCTCCCTTCCATAATCCCACCCCGTTCCTCATCTTGAGTAGATAATTATCTCCGTGTATACTTACCACCTAGATACCACGCGATTATACGCGATGATAAAGAGAAGAAGAAAAAACAGCCAACGCTTGACATAAAGAAAAAGAACAAGAAAAACTACATCAGAGAAGCTGTGTTTCTCAAGTGAGTGAAGCCTCTACAAGCTTCGTCCCTCCCCCCTTTCCACCCTTTTCTTTTCTTTCCTTTTCTCCCATCAAAAAAGCAGAATAAATGTCATGCAAACAAACAAGCCTCCCATCGTCACCCGATCGCCTCTGAAACTCCTTTTTTTTTCCATCTCAAACCCCGTAGGTGAAAAGGTCTGACAACCTCAATCCCCCAAGCCAGACCGTAACGTCAGACGTCTCTCTCATGAATATTATTGGTCAGGCTTGAGACCAGTATTTTGGTTATTGCCCGGTACCAAAAGGTGCTCGCTCGTTCGCGTGAGTGTGAGCGCGTCCAGCATGCAAGCCAATCGCCAAACATGCACAAAAAAAGAAGAAGAAGAAAAGGAAAAAGACACCCCTTTGTCAAAAGAGGAGAAAAAGAGAAAAAGGACAACATGATTACTCATGCCTCACACCCCGTTGCAGCCTCCTCATAGCATCGCGATGCGCCCCCATCAGCGCACCGCTCCGCATCCGCACCTCAAACTCACGCTGTCCCTGCTCCTGCTCCTGCCTCTCCGTCTTGCGCCTCTGCGCCTCCGCTTCCTTCTGCCCGAGCAGAAAGTTGCGCTGCACCTCGATGTGGCGCTGGATATCGACGCTGTCCCTCCCGTATGCGCCTCGCAGGCTGCGAATCGAGATGCTGGGCCCCACAGCGGCGGAATCGCGCCCGCCGCTGCTGCTGAGCTGCGCAAACGAAGCGCTCGTGCGCAGGTCCGCGGCGACGCTGTTGCGGAAGTTGGCGAGCTGGGCCTGGCGCGCTGCCTCGGACGGCATGTAGCTGCGGCGTGTTGGCTGATGCGAGTCGAATCCCACTGACTCGACCGAGGTCTGCTGTATGGAGGGGGCCAAGCGCTGACGGCTGGCCTTGTAGGCAAGGTTGAGATTGCTTTGGCGGATCATAAGGCGCCGTTGCGAGAGCGGAATGTCGTCGGTGTCGAGTGGTAAGCTCTGTTCACCGCTGGCACCGGAGGTAAAGATGGGGTAGTTGTTGAGGCTCCCCGAATCCGAGCCGTGCCTGGAGTCCGGCCGCGCGTTGGGAATGGCGGCGTCCATAATGCCCATAGCGGCGGCGTCGGCAGCAGAAGGCCCCCAAGTTCCTGATAGCTTGTTGCGGAGAAGCCTCTCGCGCATGCCGATCAGTGTCTGAGGTGGTTCAAGTGAGGCCACCCCTTGCGTGTTCGGAAACATGGATAGGTTGGGAACGGAGACGGAGGTCGACAGCTCGCGCTGCAGGGGTTGGGGAGACATGGATCGCGCCGCCGCGAGGCCGCTCTCCGTCGTGACTTGCTTCGGAGTGCGATAAGACTCAACATCACCCTCTTCGGCGATAGGTTCAGCAAACATCAGCGAGCTCCGTCCTCGCAACGTCCCGGACATCGAGCGATATAGTATTAACCTGTTCCGAGAGAGCGGTTCGGGGCTTCCGGCAACTTGCATCGGGAAGCCTGTCGCCTCTTGGTGGCCTGACAGAGATGCTCTGGAGCTGCTTCTTGACACCGCGTGCGGCTGATTGGTGTAGTTTGACAATGCGCTGGCCGATCTTGGGGCTGCACGAGCCGGCGCTGCATTTTCGGCCGTCTGCTGGAGATCGACCACATCAAGGGGAGCCGGTTCTTCGTTCAAGCCATGCGAGCCGGCCTCGTCAAGCCTCTCGTGCACATGAAGAGAATCTGGCTCGGGTGTCTCGGCAACGCTGAGGTGTTTGGCCCACTCGTTGGTCCGGTAAGACAAAGCAACTCGCGACAGTGACCGTGGGAGATTTCCTCTGGTGAGGCTTGCCGCGACGGAATCAACAGAGGCGACTGATTTCGGCCTCTTGCTCGATTTCGTATCCGACTCATGCGTATATGTGAGCTCAGGAGAAGCCAAGCTGATATCTCTCTCCTCGGCATCCGCCCCGACTTTGCTTCCTTGTTCGGCTGCACTCGCCCTCCGCGACTCGTTGCCCGCCGCTTGAGGAGCCGCTGGAAGACCAGTGGAAGCGGTGAAAAGCGTGTCTGCCGCCGACGTTCTCCTTTCTGTGCCCACTAGCGAACCGATTCCCAGTTCCTTTTCAATCTGCTCTGCCAATGGCATCTCTCCCGCACCATCAACTCTAGCGTCTGTGTCGAGACTCATATCAACGTAGCGGGGGCTCTTCCATTCCCTGACGCTTTCCAGATCCCCGTCGCTGCTCATCTCGTCCAGATTCCCTGCGATGGAATCAGTCTCGTCTTTTGCACTCAACGCCGGCCCAACCAGCCCCTCGTAGCTAGCACCAGCCGTACCGCCCTCTTCCGTCTTGATTGGCGACGAGCGCTGGGAGAATCGTCTGAGAAGCTCCACTGAGCTGTTCGACAGTCTTCTCACCATGCTGCCGGCTTTTCCGTCCCGAACTTGTGCCATAAAATCGTGTTCGCCATCATCCTCGTCTGCAAATGTTGCGACAGAGGACCTGTCGTCATTCTCTCGCGTCGCGGGAATCGTGAATGGTAAGGGAACGATGGCTGGAGACGGATTCGCACCCTGTGAGTTTCGCCTCCACATTGATGTGATTGACGACGCACGTTTCAACTCGCTTTTCTCTCTAATTTCTGATTCCTTGCCCTTCTCGAGGGGCGTGTTTTCCTCCGACCGAACGGGAAAATCATCCTGTCCTACTCTGATAGTGACTCTGCTGCCATCGATGTCTCGTGAGAGTGCCAGGTCTGCGTTGAGGGCGTTCGAGGGTGGCGATTCGGTCCCATCCACCGCACAGACGGCGGCTTCATTGCTTCCTATTTCAGTTGTCGACAAGGCTCGTGTTGTGGTGGTTGTTGAAGCCCCCTTGCTATGCCTTAGACGCTTTTCGCTTTCCAAATCGCATACCCCTGAATCTGTAGAGTCAACCGGGCTGGTTGAGCCGTCCCCATATACCTGCTCCCACTCACGGCGCTCGCGCGAAGTCATCTCTTCAACTTTGCGCCCGATATTCTCCTCCTCGGCTCGCAAGGTTTGTTCACCAAGGGCGACCTCTGCGTCATGCTTGTCCCGTCGCTCCTTGATAATGCGCCATAGCTTGAGCTGGGAAACGATGCCCGAGAGGAAGATGAGTATCGTGACTGCTATCTCCACGCGCATGCCACGGGTCAGCGGATACGTTTCGGTGCCGAGGGGGAAGACGTTGTCATTGAGCGCCCAGAGATATGCCCAAAACTCTTTGTAACCGGCTCGGCTGAAGCAATCGATACCTAGCACGGCAGCAGTCGCACCAGAAAAACAGTTGCAGGCGATAAGGCTGTAGGCGCGGGTCCAGCGGGTGAAGTACATGGCAAAGCCCACAATGGTGAACGCTGCAATGAAGCCGACCTTGCCGTCGACTGTCTTGATAAGCCCGCCGGCCTGTAGGGTCAGTAGCCACATGCTGAGGCAGAACCCGCCGAGAAGGCATCCGAGGCACTCGGCGATCTCCTTGAATATAATTGCCAGACCGCCAAGTATCAAGCCGGTGCACACGGCAGCCACGACGTATGCTCCCTGGATCGGATTGCTAACTGGCGGAACCATGACGTAGATGATGAGGACCGATGTCCCCAGGCTCGCCAAGAAGGCCGTAGAGAAAAAGGTATGGAGCCATTTGGTTCTAATCCCAACCATGGCATAGACAACACCCGCGCCGAGAAGGACGACACCTGCCACAGCCCAGCCAGGCGTTATGGCGGGTTCGAGAGGAAGTTGGCCAGCCGGAATCGAAGCTGTTCACAATGTCAGACACTAACTAATCCTTTTCAATAGCGCTTCACTGCCTGTCAGGTCACGTACTGTTGAACATGGTAGAGTTGACAACCCCAGCTGTGGTTTGTGTTGCGGAGGTGGTTAGGGCAGGTATCAAAGTTGAAGATGCTTCCGTGGAACTCCGAGAGGCTAGCGAAGTCGTGGTTATCCGCGCATTGTCTGTTGGTAATTCTGGGCTCGTTGAGGCTGTTATCGACGGGCTTGTGTCGGCCCTCCTTGCGACCTCAACCCGTCCCGCACTGGCGAGGCTGAAGAAGCCCCAGAGACATAGTAACGCCGTTGCGTCGGAGTGGCTGGGGATCCTCATGGTGTAGTGTATAGCAAGAGTGAGATATGAAGAAGAGCAAGGGCTCGGCCGGGTCGAAGCCTAGGTTGGCGATGCTGGAGGAGCAAGATTGGGCGCCAGGGGGGCCAGATTTTCAGTCAACAAACTGGCGGCATTATTCAAGTCGACAGGTATGAGCCCGCTCGCTGCTCAAGGCACAGTCGAACAAGAACGAGGTTTCGAGGA